GAACTCACAGAGGTCTGCCTGCCTCTGCTTCCTGAGTGCTAGGATTAAAGGTGTGTGCCACCACTACCCGGCGAAAATAGAATCATTTGATGCATGGCTTTTTGTGACTGATTTCATTCTTTTGGTATAATGTTGTCTAGATCCATTTATATTGTCATATTGTAGCATATATCTGCACTTCAGTTTCATAATTTATTCATCACTTTCAGTTGATGGATATTGGGTTATTTTCAACTTAAGTCTCATGAAGATTTATATTTAGTAGTTGTATTTTCATTTGTCATGAGTCTGTGTTTAAGACTAGAAGGAGCTGGGCGGTGGTGGTGCACGCCTTTAATCCCAGCACTTGGGAGGCAGAGCCAGTCAGATCTCTGTGAGTTCGAGGCCAGCCTGGTCTACAGAGCGAGATCCAGGAAAGGGTGCAAAGCTACACAGAGAAACCCTGTCTCGAAAAACCAAAAAAAAAAAAAAAAAAAAGAGTAGAATGAATTGCTTGGTGAGATGAGACAGAAGCTCTTTGTTTCGTCCATTGTTCCCAAGTGGCTGCACATTTGCACTGCCATGCCTGAGTGTGAACATGCCCCTTTCACTTCCTTGTCAAAATGATTCTCACTCTCTTTTGTGATTTGCACTCTTTTTTAAGGCAGGTTCTCCCTAGATGTTCCAGGTTGGCCTTAGACTGGTAGACCTTAGCCTCTCCCTGCTGGGATAGCTGGCATGTCCATCACACCCTCTTTATCACTGTTTCTGCTTATCCAGCCTGGGTGAGCGAATGCTTTGGGACTGGTTTGCATGTCCCCAATGCCAGGGATGCTGGGCATCCTTCCATTTGCTTATCTGCTGTTGCATCTCTTCTTTGAAGAAATATCCACTCAAATCTTGTGCCCCCTGTTGTTTAAATTTTTATTTTAATAGACAGTTTAAAGTATATGTATTTGGTGATACAAATGATGTTAGGGTATGTCAGTACAGTGTGGAATAAGCAAGACAAGCTAGTTAACCTGTCCACAATCTCAGATACTTTTTTTTTTTTTAAAGATTTATTTCTTTATTATGTATACAGAGTTCTGCCTACATGCATGCTTGCAGGTCAGAAGAGGGCACCAGATCTCATTATGGATGGTTGTGAACCACCATGTGGTTGCTGGGAATTGAACTCAGGACCTCTGGAAGACCAGCCAGTGCTCTTAACCGCTGAGCCATCTCTCCAGCCCCCCAATCTCAGATACTTAACTTTTTTCCTTTCCTTTCCTTTCCTTTCCTTTCCTTTCCTTTCCTTTCCTTTCCTTTCCTTTCCTTTCCTTTCCTTTCCTTTCCTTTCCTTTCCTTTTTTTTTTCTTTTTTTGTGGTGGGAGCAGTTTTGAAATGTGCAATCTCTGCTATTGATTATATCCCACTTCACTCTACTTAGATCTAGCCCTTTCCAGCTTTGTTCTAGTATTATTAAAAAAAAGTGTTCTTACCATTTCAACTTAGTGATTATTTTTAAGTTTTATTTATTTTTTTGTTCATTTTTCTAGGTGGATATTCCATCTATTATAACCAAGAAACTATTAAAGGCGGCAATGAAACATATAGAAGTGATTGTTAAAGCGAGACAGAAAGGTAATCCAGCTCTATGTAGTTTGAGTAATTTTGTTTATGCATCAGCTTCCATTTAAAAGTATGTGAGTGCTGGCACCCTTACTACTGCTCTTCACAGATGCTTTAAGAATGGCCTTATAAAAAACAAAAAACCCAGGGGTTGGGGATTTAGCTCAGTGGTAGAGCCCTTGCCTAGCAAATACAAGGCCCTGGGTTTGGTCCTCAGCCCCAGGAGGGGGGGAGAAAAAAAGAAAAACAAACAAACAACCAGTTTGAATGATGGTCTGCTCTTGTCGCTCATGTCTCTTTCCTACTTCTATGACTTTTGCAGTTTCAGACTATTCTAGCTCATCCTACATATGACTACCATGTATCATATTTGTTTCTCCATATCATAGTTCTTCTGTTAATTTCTTTTATGTGTATTGGTGTGAAGGTGTCAGATCCCTGGAACTGGAGTTATAGACAGCTGTGAGCTATCATGTGGGTGTTGGGAATTGAACCCAGGTCCTCTGGAAGAGCAGCCAATGCTCTTAACCTCTGAGCCATCTCTCCAGCCACCCCACCCCACTTCCCTTTTAAAGCAACTCTGCTTTGGCATCTGTAGGCTTTTTGCTGATGTGATTTACACCAAGCCTGTGTTAAATAAGTATTTTCTGATTGAATGAAGGAAATCTTGAGTAAGGACTTTTCTTGCTCTAAAGTCAAGTTCAAAATGTCCCCTCTAACAGTTTGCACTTGCTTCTGTGTGAGACTGGGATTTTCCTGTGTTTAGTATTCTTCATCAGTGCTTTCTGAAATGCATTGTGCAGAGCAGAATGCCATTCTGCATAGGTGGCTATATAGAAACAGAT